TCCAGGTGCTCTTCAAGGGCAGCCCCATGTAGAGAATGTTACAGTAGTCCAGACGAGAAAGGACGAGGGCACGAGTGACTGTGCACAGAGCATCCCAATCCAGAAAGGGGCACAACTAACGTATCAGGCGAACCTGGTAAAAGGCCCCCCTGGTCACAGCCATCAGGTGTTCTTCTAAACTAAGCCACGTATCCAGGAGGACTCCCAGATTGCGGGCCCTCTCTGAGGTCCCTTCCAATTCTGTGAATCTGTTAAATCTGTTAAAAGAGAGGGTCGAGTTTTGCACACAGCAAATGATAAGTTATGCAAAAGCTCCTAATCCTGGTGGGTAAAAGGCATTGCTGTAAAATCAAAAACAACTCAGTTGGATAAATTGGTACCTTCAGCTTTTTGTGAACTGGATGAAGCTTTTAAACTCACAAATGTGTTGAAATAGAGCCATATTCTGCTTCTGGCCTTCTTTATCTCCCAAGGTGCTAGGCTGCAGGGAAGGAACAAATGACAGCTCCTGTAGTCTCAATCATCTCCAGAGTATTAAAAAAAAAATAAGCTGGGAGCAACATGAAGCTAGTCATATATCTGCTTGTCGCCCCACTAAGATGATAGCAGTGTTTCATTAGTGTTTTTCCAACTTAGCACTGACTGGGGAACTCCGATAATTGAAGTCCACACATATTAAAACTGCTCAGTTGTAAAAATACTGAAATCAATCAGTATTGAGTTCCTCGTGAGGCTCTGTGAATGGACGATGACTTAGAAAATTAAAAATAATCAAGCAATGTCCTTAAAATATATGTTAAATCTCAGTCTTTGCCTAATACTTATGTGTTATTAATATTTGTAATACTCCGTGCCGTCTGTTGCAGGACTCACATGATCCGGCAAATGATGATAAAAATATTTCGCTGTGTTGAACCAGAACTGAATAACCTCATTGCTCTGGGGGACAAGATTGACAGCTTCAATTCCCTCTATATGCTAGTGAAGATGAGTCACCACGTCTGGACAGCGCAGAATGTGGATCCAACCTCCTTCCTTAGCACAACTCTCGGAAACGTTTTAGTAACCGTCAAACGAAACTTTGATAAATGCATTGTAAGTTTTTGAGCACTTTTGATAATTAGTAGTGGGTTGAATGCAGTTTGGATTCAGGATAAAATTCAAGAGTCAAAGTGAGATCATAAAACGGGATGGCCTGTGTTGTGCTTTGGTATTGCCATTTGTTGTTGTTAGTTGCAAAGTGGTGTCTGCCCCATCGCGACCCCATGGACAACGTTCCTCCAGGTCTTCCTGTCCTCTACCATCCTCTGGAGTCCATTTAAGCTCACACCTTCTGCTTCAGTGCCTCCATCCAGCCACCTCATTCTCTGTTGTCCCCTTCTTCTTTTGCCCTCCGTCTTTCCCAGGTTCTTCTCCAGTGAGTCCTTCCTTCTCATTAGGTGGCCAAAGTACTTGAGTTTCCT